GACCCTGATGAGGATTGCTGCTGTAGTGAGACACTGAGCTATGAGGGAGTGGGTGTCAGGTGTTTGGCGTGCGGGAAAATGAGGTCGGGAACCATTGCGTTAGAGGCAGATGATAGAGAAGAAAGAATGACTTGTCTCTGTAGCTTCCGACAAAGCACCTGTTCTTTCAGAGTATTTCCTAGTCTGGTTTTTGTTTTTTTTTTTTTAATTTGAGACGGGTTTCCATTCTGTCACCCAGGTTGGAGTGCAATGTCGTGATCTTGGCTCACTGCAACCTCTGCCTCCCAGGCTCAAGTGATCCTCCTGCCTCAGCCTCCTGAGTACCTGGGACCACAGGTGTGCGCCACCACATTCAGCTAATTTTTTTGTATTTTTGGTAGAGACAGGGTTTTGCCATGTTGCCCAGGCTGGTCTCGAACTCCTGAGCTTAGGTGACCCACCCACCTCGGCCTCCCAAAGTGTTGGGATTACAGGTGTGAGCCTACATATTTCCCAATTTTTTTTTTTTTTTTTTTTTTTTAGATAGAGTCTCGCTGTCACCCAGGCTGGAGCGCAGCGGTGTGATCTTGGCTCACACCACCGTTCTTGTCAAGTCTCCTGTCTCAGCCTCCTGAGTAGCTGAGATGACAGATGTGTGCCACCACGCCTGGCTAATTTTTGTATTTTTAGTAGAGACAGTTTCACCATTTTGGTCAGGCTGGTTTCGAACTCCTGACCTCATGATCTGCCCACCTCAGCCTCCCAAAGTACTGGGATTTCAGGCATGAGCCACCGTGCCCAGCCATACTTCCCAATCTTAACATTGAACAGGAGAATAGTGTGCTTCACATGGCAGAGGGGATTAAGGGAAATAATTTCCGAAAAGTGCTAGAATTGTTGCCTAAGAGACCCACATTAAGTGCTAGCATGCTTTCCCTTTTGCCTTCCCAACAGGTCTGGAAATAAAGGGAAAACAGTCACCCAAGGGCCACCTAACAATCAAATATTATAACTTTAGGATATTTCTTTCTCTTCTTTTTTTAAAATTTTTATTTTTTGGGATTCTCACTCTGTCACCTAGGGTGCAGTGCAGTGGCACCATCACAGCTAACCGTACCCTGGAACTCCCAGGCTCAATCGATCTCACCTCAGCCTCATAAGTAGCTTGTACTACAGGTGTGTGCCACCACACCTGGCCAATTTTTATATTTTTTTGTAGAGACGGAGTTTCACCATGTTGCCCAGATTGGTCTCTTAACTCTTGGGCTCAAGCAGTCCACCCACCTCAGCCTTCCAAAGGACAGATGTAAGCTTCCACACCTGGCCTCTGTTCTTTATAATAGCTGTATTCATGATATTATGAAAATGATATTATGGAGCCAGGTGCACTGCCTCACGCCTGTAATCCCAGTGCTTTGGGAGGCCAAAGTGGGGGCATTGCTTGAGGCCAGGAATTCAAGATCAGCTTGGGCAACCTAGCAAGACCCTGTCTCTATAAAAAAATAATAAAGGCCGGGCGCAGTGGCTCAAGCCTGTAATCCCAGCACTTTGGGAGGCCGAGGCGGGTGGATCACGAGGTCAAGAGATTTGAGACCATCCTGGTCAACATGGTGAAACCCTGTCTCTACTAAAAATACAAAAAAAAAAAAAAAAATTAGCTGGGCATGGTGGTGCGTGCCTGTAATCCCAGCTACTCAGGAGGCTGAGGCAGAATTGCCTGAACCCAGGAGGCGGAGGTTGCGGTGAGCCGAGATCGCACCATTGCACTCCAGCTTGGGTAACATGAGTGAAACTCCGTCTCAAAAAAAACAAAACAAAACAAAAAAATAATAAAATTAGCCAGACACAAATAACAAAATTAGTACGTACCTGTGTTCCCAGCCACTCAGGAGGCTGGGGTGAGAGGATTGCTTGAGCCTAGGCGTTTGAGGTTACAGTGAGCTATGATTGCACCACTGCACTCCAGCCTAGGTGACAGAGTGAGCTGCCGTCTTAAAGGCAGGCCATTTAATATTATAAAAATATTTGCTATCATAAAATAATAATAAAAATACTTTCTTGTTAGCACGGTATCATAAGCAATCTTTGTTATTTCATAGCCTGCCTGACTAGCATCTTGTGGTGGCATAAAGGTCTATCAAATAAATACGGCCTGATTTATTTGACTTTCCTGTTGATAGGCAATTAGGTCAACTCCAGGTTTTTGCCCTGTCATTGCAGTTGAACATCTGACTGCATAAATATTTTAGATTATTCTTAGAAAAATTGTTACGGCTTAAGACCTTCATGTCTAAGGATTATTACATTTAAGCAATGGTTACTGTCCCACCAAAAATCAGTATTTGCTCTTGTGAGATGACCTCCAAGTAACATTGTTCAGTGAAGAAAGCATGCTATGGAATGCTTTGGTTGTGCTTTAATACACAGGTTGCCTACCAGAAGGTAGAGAAGAAAGTGGCTCAGAGCCACTGCCTCTGGGAAAGAGAGCTGTGGGAATGGGCAGGGCAGGGTGAAAGGAAGCCCCCCTTTTCACTCCACACCTTCCTTTATCCAGATTTTTGGTCATGTACATGTTTTACCCATTTTAAATTGAATACAGATTTTTAAAATTTTTGGTATAATCTGCTGTTTTCCGAAAAGGTACAAGAATAGTACAAAAAAATTCATGGCTATCCTTCATCCAGGTTTCCTGATACATTTTTGAATGGGTTTTTTTTTAAATACCAAAAGAAATTTTTTTTTTTCTAAAGTGTGGGTTCCAGCAGAGACGGGTAAGGCAGGAGGAGCTACTATGCCATTTTGCATATAAACAGAAACTCAGAGTGGTACATCAGCTTGCCTTCCAGTTAGTAGTGGCAGGGTTGGGCCAGACTTCAGCTACTGTGAACACAGGGACAACTAAGTTGCTATTAACACAGTGGTGATTTATGTTATACCCAGTTTTTTTAAGTAATGGACTTGACAGAATTTGATTAAGTTGAGTTCGACTGAATTGGATTCCTCAATTAAAGTAATTTCTCTTTTCTGGGATTCATGTTTTTTGTTGTTGTTGAGTTAGGGTCTTGCTGTCTTGCCCAGGCAAGAGTGCAGTGGTGCGATCATGGCTCACTGCAGCCTTGACCTTCTGGGCTCAAGTGATCCTTCCACCTCAGCCTCCTGAGTACCTGGGACTACAGGCACATGCCACTGTACCTGGCTAACTTTTTTATTTTTTGGAGAGTTAATGTCTCAAAGTTTTGTCCAGGCTGGTCTTGAATTCCTGGATTTAAGTGGATATACCCACATTAACTTCCCAAAGTGCTAGGATTACAGGCATGAGCCATCATGCCCAGCCTGAGATTCATTTTAATCTCAAGCTGTTCTTGGAGTTCTGAAAATTCTGAGTAACTGTTGGCTTCGTCAGAACAGTAACATGAGCTATGACGACCCAGTCAGAAGTCTCAAACACTCATGGCCCGTTTCTCTTACCAGATCTGCCCCTTGAAGGCACCTGGCCTTCTCCTCCCAGCAGAGGTAGCCAGGAGCAATTTATAAGAGTATTTCCTGCACTATCCTCAATTCCTTCTGAGATAAAATATCTGTTAAGGGAGAGAGAGAGAGAGGATTTATTAAATTGTATTTTGAAAACTTGAATTAAAATGGTGCTACTGTATAAAATTGTACCTCCTCTCATCCAGTAGGGGGCACCATTTCCTCACATTTTCTCATCTCTAAGGTCAGAAGTGATCCGTTTGTTTTAATTGTCATTATAATAAAAAACTTTATTATAATCACAGTAGTAGTGTATAGTCAATAATTATAAAATACAGGCAGAAAGAAGAAAAATTTGAAATCCCTTAGTGCAATACAGAGTTGATAGATTATAGCTACTAATGCTGCAGCTACTAATAGAGTACAACTAATGTGTATCCTTCTAGACATTTTTCTAATGGCGCTCTATCCTCAAAAATAAATGTGTGTATTTATTGAAGTATAACATAATACAGAGGAGTACACCAATCTTAAGTGTACAACTTGATGAATTTTCACAGAATAAATACAGCCGCTAACTACCACCCAGATCAAGAAATGAAACATTTAAAAAAATCTGGCCAGGCACGATGGCTCATGCCTGTAATCCCAGCACTTTGGGAGGCTGAGATGGGTGGATCACGAGGTCAGTAGTTCAAGACAAGCCTGGCCAACATGGTGAAACCGTGTCTCTACTAAAAATATAAGGATTAGCTGGGCAAGGTGGCATGTGCCTGTAATCGCAGCTACTCCAGAGGCTGAGGCAGGAGAATTGCTTGAACTAGGACCCAGGAGGCAGAGGTTGCATTGAACCGAGATCACACCATTGCACTCCAGACTTGGTTACAGAGCGAGACCCCATCTCAAAAAAAAAAAAAAAAAAAAAAATCTCTGAAGGCCTTTCCTGCCTCTTTACTGTCACTGCCTTCCTCCAGAGATAAGCACTGTCTCAGCTTCTAAGACAAGAGAAGAGTTTCACCTGGTTTCCTATTATGTAAGTGAACTCGTATCCTATATACTCTTGCATCTGGCTTTCTTCGTGCCCCGTTACGTTAGTAATGTTTATCCATGTTGTTGTGTGCTATGATAGTTCATTCATTTTTGTGCTGTATTTTGTTATATGAATTTGTCACAATCATACATACCATGGGTCAGCAAACTTTTCCCTAAAGGTCCAGATAGTAAATATTTTAGGCTTTGTGGCCTATACAATGCCTTACACAATTACCTAACTCTGCCATTGTAGTTCAAAAGCAGCCATAGACAATGTGTAAGGAAATGGGCATGGCTGTGTTCCAATAAAATTTTATTTACAAAAAATTGGGGCTAGTCTGGATTTGGCAGTAGCTTCCGACTACTACTTTACCTTTTTTTTTAAAAAAGCAAAAGTCATACTATGTGATTACATTTCTTGAGATTTCATAAGTAGCGGTTGCAGATTATCATTTTCCATGAAAGAGGAATTCCAGGAAGTAAACTAACAGCTGGGTACTCTTTCTTCTTTATTGTAGTCTCTGGCAAACATAGACGAAGTCGTGAACAAAATTAGGCTGAAAATAAGGTGAGTAACATTGTATGATTGTTAATAATTAATGAAAAGTATTCCATGAGAGCACTGAAATCTCGTTTGCCATAGATGATAATATAATTTTTAAAAATTTTATTTATATTTATTTAGTTAGTTTTTTGAGACGAAGTTTTGCTCATTGCCCAGGCTGGAGCGCAGTGGTGTGATCTTGGTTCACTGCAACCTCAACCTCCTGGGTTCAAGTGATTCTCCTGCCTCAGCCACCCAAGTAGCTGGGATTATAGGCGTGAGCCACCATGCCTGGCAAATTTTGTGTTTTTAGTAGAGACGGGGTTTTATCATGTTGGTCAGGCTGGTTCCGAACTCCTGACCTGAAGTGATCCACCCACCTTGGCCTCCCAAGGTGCTGGGATTACAGGAGTGAGCCACCTCGCCTGGCCGTATAATTCTTTTATCTGTATGAACTTTGTGGCAAGGAACTCAATTCTTTGGCCAGTCTTCATTCAGTTATTCATACAAAAGGAAGGAAGCTGTGACAGAGTCTATTCAAAACAGCTTTTGTAATTGTAGAAGAAGGCAAAAGCTTTTCTAATAGATTTTCTTTATTTTTTTGAGACGAGGTCTTACTTTGTGTCCCAGGCTGAAGTGCAGTGGTGCAGTTACAGCTCAGTGTAGCCTCAAACTCTTGGGCTCAAGTGATCCTCCCACCTCAGCCTCCTGAATAGCTGGGACTACAGTGGTACATGACCACACCCGGCTAATTTTTGTATTTTTTGTAGAGATGGGGTTTTACCTTGTTGGATAAGCTGGTCTTGAACTTCTGAGCTCAAGTGATATGCCTGCCTCAGTCTCCCACATCTACTAGATTTTTTTTTTTTTTTTTTTGAGATGGAGTCTGGCTCTGTCACCCAGGCCAGAGGACAGTGGCATGATCTCAGCTCACTGTAACCTCCGCCTCCCAGGTTCAAGCAATTTTTTGTGCCTCAGCCACCCAAGTAGCTGGAATTACAGGCTTGCAGCACCATGCCTGGCTGATTTTTGTATTTTTAGTAGAGACAGGGTTTCACTCTGTTGGCCAGGCTGGTCTTGAGAACTCCTGGCCTCAAGTCATCTGCCCGCCTTGGCCTCCCAAAGTACTAGTTTTATAGACGTGAGCCACCACACCAGACCTTCTACTAGATTTTCAATGAATTTATTTCCGTTTTTATATTCCCAAGGCTGAGAGATGAAGATGGCCTTATATGTATATCCTTTGGTCACATAACAGCTAGCAATGTCAGGTCTGCTGGTGGGTTTGGTGGTGACCCATGATTAAACATTGTGAGCCATGGGGGAAGAGAAGCTGGGAGTCGTAGATCTGTCTCAGACATAGATTGCATGACCAGGGCCCAGAGCAGGAAGATTCCCTCTATCACCCTGGCTCTTTCTGCCTTATGAGGACTGAGGAACGGATTTTGCTTGAGGTAATTTAAGTTCTCTGGCGTGTTCATGTAAAGGCTTAGGAACTTTGTCATTCCTGATTTACTCCATGAAAAATACTGCAAGTTTTATTAGTCCTTTCAGAGAGCTCTGAATATTAAGTAAAACAAGCCATTTTTAAAAACAAGGCGTAGCAGCCGGACTTGGTGGCTCACGCCTGTAATCCCAGCACTTTGGGAGGCCAAGGCTGGCAGATCATGAGGTCAGGAGTTTAAGACTATCCTGGCTAACATGATGAAACCCTGTCTCTACTAAAAATACAAAAAAAGTTAGCCAGGCATGGTGGTGGGCGCCTGTAGTCCCAGCTACTTGGGAGGCTGGAGCAGGAGAATTGCTTGGACCCGGGAGGTGGAGGTTGCAGGAAAAAAAAAAAAGCTGAAGCATTTGTCTGAGCTAGGCTTGGCTTCCCACACTGCTATTGCTGCCCTCCACCTTCCTGATATCACTCACACATGTTTGGTTTTTGGGACAATTAGGTGCAGTCTGCAGAAGCTGGTGGATAAATTTGTTTTTTTTTTTTTTTGGTCAGCCTAGAGTAAAGATTATTTGAATGACTATATCCTTGAACTTTTTTGCCAGGAGACTGGACGACAATATTCGAACTGTTGTAAGAGGTCAGACGAATGTGGGGCAGGATGGACGGCAAGTAAGTAACTTATTCCACCGTATTACCTGTATTCTCCCAGCAGCCAGATGACCAGAACGTTGATGTGCCTTCCTGCAGCGCACTTTCTGATTGATGGTTTCACACACGCAGCAGGACAGGACAGGCAAGCAGGCACCCAGAGCAGCCCTGTGCTGTCACTTAGAGTCCACTGGACCAGGATCATATCCTGTGGCACAGCTTACTCGGGGCCAGGGGTCTGGAGGCCTGATGAGAACCCTGGAGTTTTCTTGTCTTTCTCTTTAGTGCCGGATAGCTCCTTTATTTTGTGGGCTATGGCTAAATGAGGTTGCTGCATTTGTCAGCTAAGTTGTTGGCATTTAGGTATTACTTTTGTGGCTGCAAAAGATAGTAACCCGACATAGTTATGATCCCTTGCACCTCACTTTGCCAGCAGGCAGTTAAGAATCATTTAAAAATTTTACAAGTTGACCTGGCACAGTGGCTTACTCTTGTAATCCTAGCACGTTGGGAGGCTGAAGCAGGTGGATCACTTGAGGCCAGGAGTTTGAGACTAGTCTGGCCGACATGGCAAAACCCTGTCTCTACTAAAAATACAAAAATTAGCCGGGTGTGGTTGTGTGCTCCTATAATCCCGGCTACTTGGGAAGCTGAGGCATGAGAGTCACTTGAACCTGGGTCAGGGAGGTTACAGTGAGCCAAGATTGCACCACTGCACTCCAGCCTGGATGATAGAGTGAGACTCTGTCTCAAAAAAAAAAAATGTTTTGTAACTCTTACTGGATCTAGTTAAGGAGGGCTGTTTGAAGGGAAGCAAGTGTTTAGGGAGGAGATATTCTTCAATCATTGAGGGGCCAGATGTTATCTGTCAGCCATTTTCTTTTTTCCTTGATTCTGTTCTTCTGTGGAGGCATTGTATTTCAGAAATTGCTGTTGTTGTAGAAACACTGCTCATGCCTTTCTAGTCTTCCTCTCTTACCATGTCCAGTCCTCCCTTTTCAGTGATAATTCAGTTAGGTCAGGAGTGCACCTTTACAGTCGCTTCAGTTCTGTTATTTCTCCTCTTGGACATTTTTTAGGACAGCTAATTTCTAAAATTACTCATGATGTTGCCCAGATTTGGAGTGGGAGGAGGGTATAATCCTCCCTTGAAATTTCCAGATCTCTGATGTTTCTGTTTCCTCTGCTAGTGGCTTACAGATGTTAGGAGTCTCTTTTGAATTTTTAGTTTTACCCGTCTGTCTGTTTTTGCTACGTTACAGCACTTTCTTTTTCCACTTTATCGTCTCTTTCCATTTGATAGCCATTTCCTTTGGCCTGTTTGTAAGGAGTTGGCCTTGTCATCATCAGAATCTGTGTGTAGGCACATTAGGTTCCTGAAACTCTTCCTGTTTTCTGGACTCTGGTGTGGGTTTTAGTCCTCATTTCCTCGTTTTTGTCTGTTGAGGTATGCTTCGTGAAGCTTGGCTTCTTTGGCAGATGAGCCCCATGTAATGGGACCTTCAGAGGAGTCATACTGAGTGACAGGGTAGCCTCAAGTATTCCAGCTGCATTCTGCTGCTTCAGCTTCCTGATAGATGTTTGATTGTGTTGTCTGCCTCTTCAGACACCTCATCAGCTCTGGCTACCAAATGAAATCCAAGGCCAGGCATGGTGGCTCACGCCTGCAATCTCAACACTTTGAGAGGCTGAGGCAGGGAGATCACTTGATCCCAGGAGTTCAAGACCAGCCTGGGCAACATGACGAAGCCCCACCTCTACAAACAGTACAAAATTAGCTGGGCATGGTGGTGGCCTGTGCCTGTAGTCCCAGCTACTAGGAGGCTGAGGCGCGAAGATCAACGGAGTCAAGGAATTCGTGGCTGCAGTGAGCCATGATTGTACCACTGCATTCCAGCCTGGGAATCCCAGTGAGACCCTGTTTCAAAAAAAGAAAAGAAAAGAAAGAAATCCAAATTCCTTTGCTTGGCATTGAAAATTTTGGTCTCCATTTCCAGTTTTGTCTCTCATTGTGTTCTGTCTATATTGAAGACGTCATGCTCTACCAGCATGCCTGTCCGTTGTGTTCTGTGTATACTGAAGACGTCGTGCTCTACAACAATGCCTGTCCATGTGTTCTGTCTATACTGAAGACTGTGCTCTACCAGCATGCCTGTCCGTTGTGTTCTGTCTGTGCTGAAGACTGTGCTCTACCAGCATGCCTGTCTGTTGTGTTCCGTCTGTGCTGAAGATTGTGCTCTACCAGCATGCCTGTCTGTTGTGTTCTGTCTGTGCTGAAGACTGTGCTCTACCAGCATGCCTGTCTGTTGTGTTCTGTCTGTGCTGAAGACTGTGCTCTACCAGCATGCCTGTCTTTTGTGTTCTGTCTGTGCTGAAGACGTCGTGCTCTACAACAATGCCTGTCCATTGTGTTCTGTCTATGCTGAAGATGTTGTGCTCTACCAGCATGCCTGTGCTCTCTGGGCCTGTGCTTCCATACTGCTTTGTGCTTGAAATGCTTTTTCTCCTATTTCTTTCAGCAGCTGCATTTCCAAATCTTACCCATCCAAGGGCCAGCTCAGATACTAGTTTCTTGATGATATTTTCTGTTTATCTCATCTGAATGCACCAAGGAATCAGAATTTTGAACCAGAAAGGGTTCAAAACTCATCTGGGCCACTCCCCTCGTTTTACAGAGGAGAAAATGGATTCCAGTATCACTTGATATCCTTTCTCTCATAAATCCCACAGCCCTATTCTTGTACTTTTCATTTGGCTTTGGGGTCTCCCTTGACTTAATAGAGAACAAGTCTCATCCCTTTGATGTTTATAAGCTCCGTGAAGGTGAGAACTATACCTTTGTTATCTTTATTTCTCTACACATAGTCCACGTGCAATAACATTTTCTTCAACTGAGCTGAGTGCAATGGCTCATGCTTGTAATCCCAACACTTTGGGATTCCTAGGTGGGAGGATTGCTTGAGGTCAGGAGATTCAGACCAGCCTGGGCAACATAGTGATACCCGTCTCTACAAAAAGGTAAAAGAATAAGCTGGGTATGGTGGTACAAGCTTCAGTGAGCTGAAATGGCGCCACTGTACTCTGACCTGGGTGACGGAGTAAGATCCCCATCTCCAAAAGCAACAGCAAAACCCCACAACATTTTATTCAACTGTATTGAATATTTTATCTGCTTAAGATTGTTTATTAATTATAAATAAACAACATTTTATCATAAAAACATTTTGATCAGCAACTGGGTATTCCTTAAAAGTGATTTAAAATTTGTTTTTTTTTTTTCTGAATAGTCCCAGCTTACTACTATTTGGAAAAACAACGCTACTGTTCAGTGTGATTCAGCCTACATTTGGAAAGGCTCACTAGAAATCTTAAAATACAGGAGTCTTAGATATTTAAAATTTCAGGAATGTGAAAATAGTGAATGAGTCATCAACATTTTTTGTTGGGTCATGCTGTGTATAATAGATGTATATCTTGTAGTTATTTATGTTCCAACCTGTGGTTTGGGACTCTTGCAAACTAGCAGCATTGCAGAGTCGGACCCAGAATTAGCCTGCTGGATAGTCGGCATTCTCCACCATCCCGTATTAATAGGTTACAGGTTGCCGCAGCCCAGCAGGTCATATTTCAGAGAGCAAGACCACATTTTCAAGAATGTTTAGATAGCCTTTCAATCTGTGATGGAATTTTGTATTTGTCTCCTTAGAATCCAGACAGAAAGGAAGCCCAGAAGAAGTAATTGCTTTTCCTGTCATGCCTCCATCTGTCTTTTCCAGCAGTTTGTAATGCAAACTCAAGCAGAGGCTTTTTTCCACCCTCCCAGGGAGCTCTTGGGTCCTGTCCTTGTCAACTCCTAGGGATGAAAGCCTTGCTCTCCAGCCCTGACTGGCTGGCGGTTTGCTAAAAGGAGTCTATTAGACTGGCACAGACTTGGTAGAATTACGGATGTTCCAAAATACTGAGTTTTATCGGTTGAGGCCCCACGTTCCTGTCCTCCCTGGAACAGAAGAAAAGCTTGCTTTCAGAACTCGTTTCCTGAGCTGAAGCACACTCAGAAGGGAATGGTAGTATGGACAGAAGGAGTTTTCCTTTTACAGATTTAATCTTGATTGTGTGTAATCAGAACTGATGTGCTGCTTTTTAATTTTATTATTATTTTTTTTAGGGACAGGGTCTTGCTCTGTTGCTCTGGAGTGCAGTGGTGCAACCATTGTTCACTGTAACCTTGAACTCCTGGGCCCAAGCGATCCTCCACCTTAGCCTCCCAGGTAGCTAGGACTACAGGCATGTGCCAACACACATAGTTATTTTTTATTTTTTGTAGAGATGGGTACTTGCTGTGTTGCCTAGGCTGGCCTTGAACTTCTGGCCTCAAGTGATCCTCCTGCCTCGGCCTCCCAAAGTGCTATGAGCCACTGTGCCCGGCCTAGATGTGCTTCTTAATCTGTAAATAAGGGGAAAGTGTTTACTTCATATTCATGGTGTCTTAATGACATTTTTAGCAGAAAAGTTCTTTTGGAAAAGCAGTGTTTTTGACTCAAAAATTATTTGGAGATAAGGAATGATTTAAATATTGAAAACATATAGGTCATTTCTTGAGCTTCTTGAAGTTTCCGAAATACCGGCAGCTTGGTTAACATTCTGCTAAATGTCTGGAGAGTCTTTACTTTTTGACCACCTCCTGTGTGGACCAGCTTGAACTGGTCTAGTCTATGACCTCTTCTAGCCAGACGGTGATGCTCTTACAAAGTTTACATGGCACTGAATCCTGTCCATTTTTCTCTGTTGAAATCATCAGTAAGAAGCTTTAATTAAATGCCCACATGTTTGAAATTTTGTGGGTGAGTCAGTTCAACAAGTACATGATGTGATATGCTATGAAATTTATGCAGCTTCCCAAGAATTAAATTGGATGTTTTGAATGTGGGTAGAAAGAGAGGTGAATACCGCAGCGGGTTAGAGGAAGAAAAAGCTGGCAATATGAAATTTCAAGCATGGTCAAATGTTGACCAGTTGTCAGT